TGTAAGGGTCCCCAAAGCATCTCTTCCAGGCTCTCTCATCTTAAGCTCAGGTTAAAAAAAAAAAGAAAATAGAAGATTATTTTGGGGCATGCACATTGAGTGAAAGAAAATTGAAGCTGCCTATAGAAAATCTTCAGGCCCCTCTAATATAACCTTCATGGCATGAATAGAAATATACTGCCCATGTGAAAATTGAACTTAGGTCTTGGGCTTACATTTTCTGCTCCCCTGAGGACAAACTGGGCTCTTTCCTATGCCCCACCAGTCACAGTAGGCAGGACTGTCCTTGGGACCGGGGAGTGTCCCTGCAGCCACCATCTCCTGAGTAGATGATGAGGCCATCAGGGACGAAATACCGCCCCGGGGCTCGACAACGTGCCTGTTGCAATATGCTCTGCAATATGCCACTCATTTCCTTGTTCTGTGGTAGACTTGTCATCTTTACAAGGCCCCAGGGAAATGCTTATTTCCCTTTTTGGGTGAAAAGCTTAAATTTCCAAACTACAACCTCATCCTGCACAAAAACCCACTTCCTATGTGAGTCAAGTGCAAGGGTGCATGTGAACACGCATGCTGGTGTTGTGGTTACACCGAGCTGCGACGGGATCTCCTGCTTCAACACGTCCCATGATTATGAATATGCCAAGAGCATCAATCCTGTCCTAAGAGCACCAGCGAGAGTTAGCAGCATCCTGAAGCAAATGAGCACAAATACACTTGAGCTTATTCAGAAATAATTATAAATAAACATGGTTTTTGTTTACTGCTCTTGGCATGGAGCATGGATATGTGGGAAGCTTTTGGGTGGTACAGTGGGATGCAGAGTAGCTATCTGGGACCATCCAATGGGATGCATCAACAGCAAAACACCAGCCAGCATAGCTGGGGAAAATCTGTACTTGTCTCCAAGCCACAGCAGTTATTCAAAGCCCAGTGCAAAGATATTTTTCTTTCCAACAGTTCATGATTTGTGTCAGGTTATTGTTGGCCACCCTGTTATTTGTAGATAGCTCCACATCTGTTAGCTAGTAAAGGAGGATATTGTTCTCTCTTCTTGCTCTCCGTTTCTCTAGGTGGAATTGTTTGGGAAGGGACACCCCGTAGGTTAAATACTTTTCGGCTTGCCCTTTAATAGTGGCAAAACTATGATGGTCAACTCAACACATATATAGTAGAAAGATAGAGTTTCAGTCATCATCGATGGGAACCAGACCTTATGTCCTGCTTTCCATTTGTAGGGTTAAAGCCCTCTTGGCCATTCTCACCAAATTCTCCAGGGCGACCAAGGGCAAGTCTAAAACGATAAGAGCAAATAATTTGACTGCAGCATCCTTTTAACAGAAGACATTTCAGGGGGTGAGGGGAAATAAAAAAGAAAAGAACTTGTTGATGTGAAACATGTGGAGTCATTCATCTAGTATTGTGTAAGGGCCATAATTCTGTCTGGGAATGAGGCATAAAATACATCATAAAAATGTATAATCAAAACTACAACATCAGTTTAAAATTTATGGTGAGTAGCTTATGGAGAACATTAAATGCCTGAACTTCAAGTCAAACACTCTTCAGCTGTATATTTCTACAAGCATTTGTATAAAGCTCCTTTTCCTTCTCATAGCCTGGGACAAGTTTACATATGAAAAACACATATTGATTTCTATAAATTCAGTATTCACAGAAACGGAAGTGAAAAATATGCCACCTGAAAGATAACACAAAGCTGCCACAGAAACTCAGCAGTTGCAGAAATCAGTGATCTAAAACTATGGGAGAAAAGGTTATTTGATAATTTGAACTAAAAGAGAACTCGTCCCCTCCTATATTTGGTTCATTCAACTAAAGTTTGTATTTTACTAACTACTTTAAAATGTTCTCCTGGTCTTCACACCCYTATTGCAATAACGTTGGTTTTAGCTTCTCTCTTTTCCGCTACCAACAGACTACTTTTGTGTTCTTGTGAAGAGATGGAAACCAGATGGGAAGGATGTGGTGAGGACACAGAGGTCTGGGCTATTTACCTGCATTTTGCTGTGCCTGGTGGCTATGGGGAAGCGCTATCAAAATTCAATGCTCATTGCAAGACAGCTGCAGGAGTAAAAATACCTTCTCCCTGCTCTCTGCACACAAAGTGGTGATTTTGGATCTGGTGTGCAAAACTCCCTTGGGGACAATTGCACGTCCTCAAGTGCAAGGCACAAGGCACAAACAGTGACGTTATTATCACATCCGTATCATTGTCCATGGTTCAAATCACGAGCTCTTCTCCAGGAATGGRGAGCAAAGAACCTGCAAAACAGCAAGGCACCTTCAGGCTGAGCTATTTGCAGCTAGCCCATGGTTTCTATCTGCAGGGACCTCTATAACTATTTGGAAGCCTGATACCAGAATCATGTGTTGTTTTGTCAGACTGTTTCTGGAGTGACAGTGAACCATCCCTCATTAAAACCTGGCAGAAATCTCTTCCTTTTAATATTGTCTCTAGAGAGTGACAGTTGTGAACCTTTCAAATCACATGGGGCCAACCCTTTATCTTATCTACATTTCCTCGTATCATCAAACCACCAATTGCCCAGCATGGTCATACAGGAGCTCAGTTAATTGGCAATGGTCCCTCAAGGAAAGGCTACAACAGACCACTCAGAAAAGCTTCTTCTACCCATATGAGAAATACCACTTAAAAAATGATTTTGTAAACAACCTCAAAGTTGTGCTTTTTCTGCTGGTATCTTCTGTGATTGGACACAGAAGAGAGACTTCTTGAGTTAGTTATCTGGTAACTCTTGGAAGACCTAAGAAGAGAAAGATGTAGCCCTTGCACCTTGTTTAGGTAGAGCTTAATGACAGATACCTGCAGTTAGGAAGCTGTTTCATCTGAAATGTACCTGCAAGATGTCTAGGATGCTCCTTGCTTTTTCCCTGTTGTTCGGCTTGCTGGGAGACAGTGTTGTGCAACCGCTCATACGCAATTAGGATCACTTGCCTTCCTGCCAGTTATAGTGGAAAGTATGGAAAAGTCTCTTGGCTGGACACCAAACCTACTCTTGAAAAATAATTTTGGAGCTTTGCTAGGGCTCAGCACCAGCCAKAGAAAGAGCTGGTGTGTCCCAGATTTCAGTGCAGCAAATCACAACACTGCTGACAACTAGCTTTGTCCGTGCTTCCCGGGCCTGTATTGCTGCGTTATTTCCCTGCATGGGTAAGTCTGTGCTCAACATCGTTCCCCAGAAGACTCAGGGACATCTGGTTTCGGTTGAGTAAGAATATTTCCTTACATTGACAGCTAATTTGTAGCATACGGCCTAATGTTGTCCTAGCAATGAATTTATGGCCCCATTACCATCATAGGGCAGCATCTTCCAAGCAAATGGAAAGCGTTTCTGCATCTAATCATCAAACTAACATCAGGTTTGCAGGCCAAAAGAATGCTGCAGAAGCACCCACCAGACAGCCTGAAAACTCTGCAAGAAGGCTTATTCTTTAGCCAAAAATAAACATCCCTATGTGAGCTAGACAGCCAGAAAGCTGCTAAATCTACAGRCCTGAGCTGTTAGGAACATGCAACAAGTGTAGTAAATTCTGCTGAGTAGCTCTAAGAAGAAAAACAAGCATTGCTACCACTGAGAAGTCTGGAGGATCCTTGGGATTCATGAATGATTCTGGAATGAATGAAAGCTGGAATTTACAGCTAAATTCCCTACAGCCCCTGAGTAAGCAGGTAGAGTGCAGACATTCTGTCACAGGACCCATGCCACCCAAAGACTCACCAGCTGGTGCCATCCTCCTCTCCCAGGCTGGCTCTGCTGCTCCCTCTGATCCCAAGCCAAAGCTCTGCCCAGCTGCCATCCACCTCCAGCTACACGTAGGAGGAAGCGGAGCAGCTTCCTGGTGCTTCTTCCTCTTGCTGCCATGGGAAAACCTGAGCAGAGAAAAGATAAACAGTCTTTTGATGCCTTTCCTGGGTGCAAAATGTTATTCTCAGCCACAGAAAGAAACTGGTGTAATCAGCTACATAGTAAGACTATGCTCTACTCTTCTTTGCAAGACCAAGGAAATATTAAAAAAATGTGAGGATGAAACATTGCAGAAAAGAAGAAAAGAAAAGAAAAGAAAAGAAAAGAAAAGAAAAGAAAAGAAAAGAAAAGAAAAGAAAAGAGCATAAAAACACAGATACAAGGCATTTCTTTTCCCAAAAATATAATCTAACAAATAGTCTGTTATCTCGAGCAGCCTAAAATCATATATATCTTTCACAGACTTATTACACTATCCCCTGCTATCTGTACGTAACCGTACCACTCGCTTCCCCCGGTTTCACATGATGGATTGTCTCTCCCTTGGTGACACGGAGCTTTGGCAGGCGGACTCGCAGGACAAGGATTATTGATCCTGCTGGAGGGACTCCGGAGTCGAGCACAGAATGTCCCGTGCTGCCGTCCAAAGCTCGCRCCGCCTCCTTTTGCTGCTCCACTTTATCACTGTTGTCTTGGCTGCATCTTCTGCTTACTGAAGTTTATTCTCTGTGGATTTTTTTTCCTAATCTTCTTGTGCTTTTGCCTATTTCCTTTCTTTTTTTCACCAAATTTTCCTTTAGAAATCTGTTAAAATGAATAACCGTTATGCTGTCACGTCAGCTCCAATAGCGCTGAACACGGAGCTGAGATTTATGTGAGCTGAATGCTCAGACAGTTGTTAGGTATGGAAACTATTAAGCTTCAGAGGCTGACAGTTGATTTTAAGCAAACCTCTCTAATCTAATCTATTTATAGGAACCCTTTCACTCTAACACCTTCATGTGTAACTCTCGTCCATGCTTTCCTCAGTAGTCATAGGCGTGAGGAGCTGCAAAGAGCAACCAGAACAGGGATTTGGACCTGAGCCCAAAATCACTGTACCCCACAGTCACTGAGCATCCCATYCCAACACCCTTTTTTCCCTCCAAGGCCCTTGCAAGCACTTGGGACTGGATTTTCCAGGGCTGAGACCATTCARGACTAGTTTTCACTTCCAAAAGCATTCAGTTTGCTCTGGAGGTGTGAGGTGAAGTGACCTCACCACTTGTTTTAACACTCCACAGCTGTGTTTTGAAATGATCTGGGATCCGAAGGGTCTTTTAGGTGCCCAAAGTCTTATCAGTCCCACTCAACTTCGCTCTTCATGATCATATATCTCCATCAGGATGTTCTGTTCCATAGTCTAACGTAATGCTATGGGCAGGCAACAACAGTACAGAGTGGCTGCCCAGCAGCCCTTCACCTGCAGTGAAAGCAAGGCAAGAAATCCATCAGTGAAAAAGAGGACCAGGAGACATCCCCTGGTTATAGCTGACATGACCATTTCTTGTACTTCAGGACATTTGGCCCATCTCAACAGACCTAAATTGTGGAAATGAATTAGCTGACATTTATTGTTTTGTTTTGTTTTTTCTTTTTTTTCTCATTGCAAAGGATTTTGCATGGTTTTAAAGGCAATACTTAAAAGAGTAGCTAACATTTCCCCAATAAAAAGTCATCATGCTGCAAGAATATGAAAGTTATTAATTTTAAAAATGCATCATTTTTAAGCCATTCTTTTGGGGGRAACATACTGCTTGCATTACACTCAAAGGTGAAAACTTTGAGCTCATAAAATTTGCAGTAGAGGCAGGAAGATGAATGATTTCAGTCCTTTCCTCCCAAAATGGTATCATGGAGCCTAGTTACTGTTGCTCTRCTCCCTTCCCAACACAAAGAGACAGGGGTCATTTGGGCACATCAGAGCTGGACTAGAGGGGAGGACATTGGGGGAAGAGCTCTGTAACAATCAAGGAGGAGAAAAGTTTAAGTAAACAGATAGGATTGCTCCGGTGGGATGTGGCCAGGAGCTCTGCTGCTCTGCCAGGGACACGCGTTTCCTTGCGGGAAGCTCCCTGTGCATGGATGCAAGCACAGCAAAGCCAGGAGGAGCAAAATGCAAGTCCATGCCTGGACATGGTCTCCTTGCCTTCACTGTGCCACCCTATCACTGAGCACACCATCCAGGACTGCCGTGGTCCTGCTGTCCTCCAAAGAGGAGCATCATCTCGGATTTAGRTTTGGGATGCTCCAAACTGGGGATCTTTGCAGAATTTTGCCTCCAGTTTGCAATTTATTTATGTGAAAGACAGTGAGACTGAGCTTGGCTCTCACTTGGCTCTTTGCCTGTGGAAAACATAACAGTATGCAATGTTCCTCATGCCAGTGGATAGCCCAATAGCTATTTTAATTACTGTTTATGGTAACTGAATCGCAATAGAGAATTCAATAGTGCATTTTTAGTTTCTTAACTCAGAGTCAAGACATTCCTTCAACATGTTCCATGTGGGATGCTGGATTCAGGAATATACTGGTTCAGCAGCACTGAAAATAACTGTGTAGTCGTGACACATCTGCCTAGCCCCAGGCATCTTTTAACCAAGAATCTCCCAAACATTTTGGGTTACTTTGGAAGTCTGATGAGACCTGAAGTTATTCACAGCTCTGAGCTTTTTGATGAGCCCACAGAGAAGGAACCACAACACCGTAACCAACCAGCTGGCGACTGTCAGAAAAACAATTTTGGAAAATATATGTAAAGCCTGAAAGCCTGTCAAAATTTACGTATTCATCTAAAGCTCTGCTGGAGCTAGTGTAAAGGAGGAGCAGGGAGGTAAAATGAGAAACTGTCCTATTGCCTCAAGGTGTTGGAAAATGCCAGGCAAAACCCTGGGACACAGAAGTGATCGACCCACCAGTGATGGACACACTAGTGACACAGCAATTGGCGCTGGCACTCTCCTTTTCTTGCTGCTCATGCTTCTGCTGGACTCATTCTTTCTGGTTTTAATGCTGCTAACTCTCATTTTACCTKCTATGAGGTAGCCTAGCAGTAGTGTGCCCTATTCACCTGCCCCTCTGGCTTCTGTGAAATCCCATCAATAACCAAAACACATGCAAGCTTGCAAGCATGAAATGAAAGTTGAGGAAATACCCTGATATTGTTGTCCCCAGGAAAACTGACTTTCATTTTTCTTCATTTCTCTAACATCTGGTACGAGTTGCTGGGGAATGATGCTCAGTTCAGCCTTGGACTCCTTCCATGCTGTGGATACAGTCAAAGAGTCAAGACACCTGTACCTAAAAACAAGGCCATCCAAGTCTGCTCAGAAATGCTGCCTGAGAGACATTTATTCACTTCAGATGAGACTATTAGGCCCTAACTGTACTGGAAAGACCATACTGTACTTCTTACGAAAAATGGGATATCAATTTCTGGCACAAATTAGAGTCAGGACAGATTTGCTCTCCTATAATTGCTGACCCTGAGCTTACAGTTGGTGGTATTGATCTTTTTTGCCTCATCCAAACACACAAGCCTAAATGCTGTTGCATTGCCAGCACCATCTGGCTGTGCAGCCCCAGCCCCAAGTTATAGTGACGAGAGAATATGCTGCAATGTTCTTTCTTGCCRAGCCTCAGGTAGCATTATTTTGACCTTTCCAAGGTTTTAAAAACTCCCACACTTTGCTATTCACCCTGCTTTCTTGATGAGGACAGCTCTGCCATAGACGACCAGCCACAAGCCCACATCTTAGGCGTGAAGCCAAGCAGGTGGTATGTGCTGTATCCCATCTGCTGCAGCATGCCCTCTGGGATGACAGCACTGATCTCCAAGAAAAAAAAAAAAAAAAGGCATAATTGCACTAATAGATCAGGTAGTGAATTGGCACAGAGAAAACAATATCCCTATTTTTGTAGACACCCTCTTAGGACACGCTATGAGGTGTGCTCACTAGCCTCAGTGCTGGCTGATGCCCAGAATGTGCTAGCACAGCATCARTAACAGAGATCCACAGGAAGGAAAGCAGTATCCTCCAGGTACCTTCTTATTACYCAAAGATAAGCTTCAGTACAGGGCTATATTGACCACCTCTGACCATCCAGCAGGTTATAAACACAGCCAGCACTCCAGGTTCAACACTGTGGTGGGTCTGCAAGTCGTGATGGTGATCTGGAGTCTGCCTGCTATTTTATTTGCAGACAAATAAAGAATTAAGAGGTATAGCACAGCAGTGAGAGCTCAGGGCATAGAGAGTCAGTGATAAAGGAGCCTTGGCCACAGTTCTAGACAGGTGGGATCACGCACTGACATTGCCAGGGTGTTATATTTTACTGATGCAATATTATCGCAGCATAAATAATGGCACAACCAGAAAAGAAAAACTTCATTTGTAACAGTCAAATGTGACTCTAAAACCCAATCTGTCTCCAAATAAAACCACTCAGTGCCATCTCTAAGATATATGCACTCCACCAAAGGCTTTGCCTAATGATCAAGAGGCTGAAGGGAGGACTCAAATAAACACCATTTGTGCCAAGCTCACCAAGTGCGTCTTTCCAAGCCGGGGGCTGGCTAACCCATGCCATCTGGGAAAAATCATCTCAGGTAGATCTGAATGCCTACAGGCATGAGCAAACAGCTCTTCAAGAGCCCTGTGCAGTAGACCGAGCTATTTATCACAGGCAAAGGCCAGAAACAAATGAAGTGACCTGTAAAACCAAACACTTTTGTGGCTCCTACTGAAAGAGYGCAGGATATTCCCGTTCCAGGATTCAACACAATGGCTGTGTCTAGCCGGACATGCCTTTAAGTGATTGAAGTCAAGCTCCGTCTGGGCAAAGCATCAAACTCCACAAATCTCCATCCAGACCTCACACCTGATGACACGTTGAGCCAGCCCAGACAACGTTCTACTTCGTGTCCCACTTCTGCAGCCCCTTTTGTCCCAGCAGAAAATTGCCAGCCAGACTGCCCTCTTTTAGAGAAAGCAGAAAAGATCATGTATGAGCAGAGCATTTTTAAAAAATAAGCTATGCTGTTCAAAAAAAACCAGGTTTCCAAGAATGTATGGACTATGGATTAAGGTCTTGTGGAACCATGCAGGTGAGAAACATCTCGAAGCTCCATCTGCAAGAAATGCAAGATCACAGAGCAATAGTGATGGAAAGGGATGCTTGGTCAAACCTCCAGGTCAACCTCCTGGTCAAAACACAGGTAACTTCAAAAATCATGTCAGGCTGCTCAGGGCCGTGTCCGGACAAATTTGGAAAGCAGGGATCTCACAGGTTCTCTGAGTCCATGTTCCAATGCTTGGCCACACTCAGTGAGTAGACAGATCTCACTGACTTTCATACACGCACAGCACAACTAGTTCCTGCAGGCTCCAGCACTATCTTCCTTTCTCAACCCTCCTGCATGATTGCACATGATTTTAGTGGATTTTAGAGGAATTTAAGAATTCTTCCTGTTGTTTTGAATGTAGCTATATTTAAGTGTGCATTCCTGAACTGAAGTTTTACTGGGTAGCTTGTTGATAAAAACCATGGATTAAAACTAAGAATTTTTTGACAACTGGATTTTTAAGCATTCRGTCCTGGTCTGGAAATGAGTTTAGTGGCTTTAACATTTTCCTGCAGGAGCTGCTCAACCCCTCTGTTTATCCATGTGGCTGTAGGGATTTCAAGGGAACCATGATGATTTACACACTCTCTTCCACTTTGTGATGCCCATGGTCATGTTGTCCTGCTACCAGATCCACGTGCCCTCTCTACTTAATTTACTGCAGTGTTATCTGAAACTATGTAATTCCTATGGATTCTCTGTTAAAACCTTCAGAGAGATGRCATTCAGCAGGAAGACAAAAAAAGCCAAAGGAAAGGAAAAACACCCTTCTTACAAAACAGGGAATGCCTATAATTTTATACATGTCTTTCTATATGTCTTCTAATTTTTTTGCAATAGTAATTAGAAATTGTAATTAGCGCTTCAATAGCAATTACACCACCCAAGGCAGATTTTCAAGGTGGCCTTAGCTTCTGGCTGAGTTTCAGGAGGAAAATACATCACATCCTCAGTGAAAGAAGGCCCTTAAAATGTATTAAACATTAAGGCTGGATATCAAGAGTGGCAAGGGGCTGGTGGCAGAGCCAAAGAGTAAGATGTATATGGGTGCGGATAGAGAAGAGAGAGGAGAGGACAAGGAGTTGTAGAGTCTGTCAGGCAGTAGCTGCGCTCCAGGGGTGCAGAGCGCAATATTGTGCTCCAGATATTGCTCTCAGTCTCACTTTTTGCAAATTATGAACTAAAAATGCAAACAATTCCAGTATCCAAATTCAGCTGCAAAGCTCAGCTCTTGTTGGAGAAGCAATTGGTTTCGAGGAGGGAAGGGGAGGACCTGGCTGAGATCCAGCTAGCCAGTGTTGTGAAGCCTGCTCAAAGCCTACAGCCTGTCCCCAAAGATAATCATGTCCTATAATCATGACAAAAAACTGGGAATAACACTGGCAGCAGAACAGACAGCCTCTTCCTGGGGACAGAAGCCAGAACACATTGATTTATGGTAAGAGGAGAAGGGGATTTGCTTTTTAAACCAAGCCAATCTGAATCATCATTGAGGAAAGAGCTTAAAAATAAAGACCAGACTCACGTCCTCCCTCATTTCACTGCAGTCACTCCCTGTAACAGGGTTTTGTTTGAATAAAGGGGCCTTTAACCAGATGCTGTGTTTAAGAGCCTTGAACAGGGCCGAGCTCTGTTTAATTAGTCTAAATTGGCCTTAAGAACCTGGTAGAAACCTGGTAGAAAGGTATTTGTCTGTCTAGATTTTATTCTAGCTGAGCCTATCTGATTGCAAGAAGGTTGAGGGACAGATTGTTTTTCTAAGGCTCTAGTCCAGGTAGCATAGGTCTCTTCATTTCTCTTTTCATTTTTTTAAATTTTTTTTTTTTAAATACATCTTTGGCAAATAATTTCCTTCTCTGGCTTCTTCCACCATGTTTTGTATAGGAAGGCTAAGGACATGCCTGGCTACACAAGAGGGSGGTCACCATCCAGGTTACAGATTGGGAAATAGAACAGTTTGTCAACATTTGGCCTAGACAAACTTTTGAAATATAAATACAGATGGTTTTATTTAAAAGAGAAAAAGTCCAAATTCTATTGAAGGTTGATACTTGTTTTCTTTCCAAACCCTTTTTTTTTTCCACTGGATATTTGGTACATTGTGTTTTGCTGTTATCAAGCTTAATCACATTTATACAATATCATATTATTATAAAATAGAAATATAAACTGAGTCCTTCAGTTCCATGGTTTTTTCAAGACATGCCCAGAAACCAAGCAGAAGTCAAACATGACAAATATTTCTAGAAGAGCATCCCCACATGAGGATGAGCAATCCCGACCGAAGGAAAGCAGAATATAGGGTTGATAGACTAGATAATGAATTACCTTCATTCAGAATTTGACCTGTAGGATGATGAACCGACAGCTTCAAGCTGCTGAACTGCTGTTCACTGCAGGCTCTGATCTGGGATGAGTTGCCCAAGACCTTGAAGAAAGTTCACCCTGGAGTAGTTCATGCTCAGGTGGAGGGAGTTCTACCACTGAAAAATAACTGGAAACCTCTAAAACCTGGCTCTGCAACGTGCCTCCTGCGTCAAAGTTCACTGGCTCGTGGTGGGGTCCTGAATTACCAAAGAACATTGCACAATAAATTTTACATAACAAGAAAAAACTCTCCACCACATCCCCGTAACTCAGGCCAACATAGCACATGCTGATAATCTAATATTCAGCTTTCAATAAGCTGAATGATCAAGCAGCTGAACTTTAAGATATCAGTCTAACATATCTCAGGCCTGACACTTTCAGTGACCTTTGGACACTATCACCTTAAAAATATCATAAAAACTCCGTGCTCTGGGGCTAATAATCCAATAAATCCACATCTTGTCACTGCTTCCTGTTTTGCTAACTTTTTTTTTYTCTTCTTCTTTTGCTTGCTCTCTCTCTCTTTCTCTCTCTAACAAAAGCAAAGGATTCATTTGCTATGTGAAGCATAGAGTAAATGAAAGCCCAGGACTGAATAAAGTAAAAGCAGTGTTATTGCTGTTACCAGGGACACACAGGGATGTACAGAATAACTCTGTGAAGAAAAGGTTTGGGTTAAGACCACTGTTTTATCAAGAGAGAGATGAAAAAAAAAAATGACATTCCTCTGCTAAGAGTTAGATAATGTTCACTGCAGGACAGCAGTGAGCACGGAGCAGAAACAAAGTTCTGGAGATATATTTCCCTGGGAATCTTACTGTGACTCTCTCTGCATGACATTTGGACAAGCTTAAGTGGGTAAATATGGTAGAGACAAAACCACTGCAATATGAATGTGAAACTAATTAAAACATCCTGCTTGGTTTTATCAATTTGAAGTCGAGTCCATGGGGTACAGGCAGGAATCTGCTGCAGGGAGTGTTTGTGCTTAGGACTTGGATAAGGAAACACAGAGCGAACCTTCAAACCCTGAGCTCGGATCACAGTAGGAAGGTTTGCAAGAGCTTGAGTAACCAGGATTAAATTCCAAATATTCTTGGAAAATTGGTGAAATAGCCTGAAAATACCAAATCCACATAGATAGGGTGGAAGGGTTGTGCTTAGAAAGGGGAACTCAAGGGATCTGACATGGGGAGCCAGCAGCAAGGGGARTATGTGGCTCGACCTGGTACACGTGGGAGCCACAAAATCGTCAAGTCACCCTCACTTGGGGTCCTGATAACATGAATGTTGTCCCTGACTTGGATTTGGTTAAAGGCAAGAACCATGGAAGAGACAGAATCCCATGAGAGACAACCTCAGTGCATCTGCCCTGGTCTCAGTGCAGGCGAGAGCAAACAGCATCTCCTCTCCAGCCAAAATCACATTTCTGGAATTTCTCCATCTGCAAACCCTGAAGACATCTTCAGTCTTAAACATTCTTGTGACTGATGCTTTGTTAGGATTTTTTTTTCCTCTTTACATCAAACATCCTGAATGCAGTGGTAAACATATGTATAAATGACCTAGTAGCTTAGTCACCCACCCAAAAGAAACACTGGAGAAACTTCAGCCTGGCACAAATGCAAAGGCACATGAGSCACAAGAAGAGCACAGCTTTGCCATAAGGACACCCATAGTTTTCCAAACCATTTCTGTAGCAAGCCCATAGCAGCTACGATACCTGTCCTGTAGTAGCATCAACCATCCTGTATGAGCAACGAGTGACACATCCCATTCTCAGCCATTGGGATGCAAGACTGATTCACATTATGCATTATACATGGTTGAATGCAGGGAGTGATACTTTAGATCACATTTTGATTTAAACGCTGTTTATATCTGTCTTAGGATTTTGAAATATTCATTTTTCAGAGAGAGAGAAAAAGGAACACCCAATCTTAATCTGCTATTCACTCATAGGTAGTTCACTCCTCTATAACCAAATCAATACCTCTACAAGACGAAATTTCGACAGCAAGTGCCTGCGTTAGTGTGTCTAGCTCATGCACAAAGAAAATTACAGTATTGCTATTCAGCTGTAATTGTGTAAACAAATCTGGAAAGAGGGAAAAAGCCATTGTTTAGAGAATAAGAAAATGCATCAGAGACACAGGTAAGGGTTTAACTGTGGATGACCTGGTTAGTGAGTCGTAGTTTACAGCTCCCACAGATGATTCCCTAGGGTTCAGATGCCTGGCAGGACACTCCATATCTTAATCCCAGCAGCAGCACCTAGGGAAGAGCCAACACTCCACAGAGCCTTGCCAATGACCGCAGTGACCTCAGAAGCATCCTTCAACCAGGTGCAAATTCCCCCCCAAAATGCTGATTGTGCCCCTGGGGGCCTGTGCTTTGCAGGAGCAGGATTCTTGGGCCACCTGYGCTGCCAGGCAGACCTCGGGGGACATATCATGCTGCCGAGGTAGCGAGGGCCCTGCTAAATAGGATGCAAATAATCAAGGTTTGATTAAATGACGTCTAAGTGCATTGGGCAACGCTTCCTGGAGCAATCTACCCCACGATCCAGGTGGGAGGTGCTGTGAAAGCTGACAGGAGYTGTAGCTAGCAAATTATACAGGAGATTTAGGAGGACCGCAGAAAGTATTCCTGAAGCTTTGAGCTCCATGTGCAGCTGCAGCAAGGAAGGCAAACAGGATGTCGGCTGCCTTGATAGAGGAATGTAATATAATTGAAAAGATTTGGTTATTATTGTATGAGGAAATGATAAGATCTTGTGCAGCGTATGGTTGGGTCAAGAAATGATATGGGAAATAAATTATATGAGTCCTCCAGGCTTAAGACAGAAGAAGCATTCAGGACAATGGGCTTATTCTCATTTCTAAAAGCCACTGGTAGGTGGACCAGATCTAATATTCAAGAGAATAATGTTTCATGTGTGTTTGCCTTGTCTCGCTGCCAAATATGAAAAACTCCCTTTGCCAGCACGGCTCCGTGGTCATACATCCAGCCTCCCAGTGCTGCCAATGCTGCTGAGGTCCACAGCCTCACAAAGAGCCTGTCATCTGAAAAGGCTTTAATGTAYCACTAATAGAAAGGGCAGCAAGGCAAAAATCACAAAGAAGCAATTGGAAGAAGCACAAGAWAACACTTGGGGTCACCTCTGGTGGCAAGACCTCTGACAAGTCTGCTTTTCGCATGCAGGTATCACAAATACTCTTCATGTTAACCTCATGAAGGGCACTGGTTGATATACCGGCCAAAAAAAGACCTAGTAGCAAGACTGGATATTCTCACTTTCATGAAAATACAGCTTTAGAAAGATTTGGGCTTTGTTGAGTCAGTCCTACATGATGTTTGGTCAAGCAAGGCTTTGATAATTCTCAATAAAGAGTTTTACAGATATATAAATGAATGCACAAACATAGAGGAATGTACATACATGCTTATATACCTATATATAGTGCAGATGGATGCAGATGGGTGCAGATGGGTGCAGATGGAGCCCAGCCGATAATCTTAGACCTCTTGACTTTCACATCAGTACCAGAAGATCGATGCGAACTTACAGATCCCCATTTTGGACACCAAACCTTAGCAAACATATTTGTCTCAGGACAAGTTTTTATTATTATTATTATTATTATTATTTTTACTTATTCTGAGTTTTATGTATCAGCTCTAGTTCTTATGCAGTCTACCACAATTTCCATGTGCATTTCCAGAGCAGCAAAGCTTTTTTACAAACAGCTTATGTTTTCCAATCTCTTCAAGAAAAGAGAAAACTTCTTGTTTATGATTTTGAAAGCATCCTTTGTGCTCTGGTTGTGCAAAAGATCAGGTCATATTTCTGCCCAGAAAAATTCAACAAGTGAGGAGAGATTTGAAGGGAACTTGAAAGTGGTARCACAGAGAAAGAAAATAAAGGATTTCTATTTTAGGTTATTTTTCATCTCTTCAGTCTTATAACTRAGCATTATATAACAATAGATGTAGACACAGATCATTATTGCTAAAGTTTTCAGTTATTTATCTTTTCTGCTGTGACATTTCTGGCCAGCATATATCAAATTCATACCCTTCTATTCACTTCTTAATAAAAATCAGCTAATTGCATCATCTCCTCTTGCTGCCAAATGGAGACGCTCATTTTAATTGGCCCACTCCAACTTGTTTTCTGGAGAAGCTCTGATATTTCTGGATGTTTCTTCCTCATTTGAGAAAATAAACTTTGCAAAATGGTATAAAGTTTCGACAGATGCAAGCTGGTTCTCAGCAGAGAAATGCTGTGCTCAGACTAAGACATTTATACTGAAGCCAGTGGAATTATTTGCCAGAAGAAACTTAGAGAAGAAAAAAMCACACATTTAAGTTCTAAAATCTCTGCTGTCAAGTTACCTTGGACTTCAATGCAGTGCCCAAAATTTTCAGTGAAGAAGTTGGATAAAATTAACGGAAATTGTTTCTGAGTCAGCACCTTTACTTGTGCAGCCCTGCAGAACAAACCAGAGCTTAATCACAATCTCTGTTTCAGAACACAGCATCCAAACCTGGCCAAATGGCTTCTCAAATGACACCTATTTGTTTGCTTCTACCATGCAAAGAACTAACCCATATTTTGTGCTATCGCTATTACCCTTCTTACTAGTAGAAAAAATGGGTTCCTTTCTGCAACTCAAGGCTTTTAGAGAAGAAGAACATTTGTTCTGCCTCAGGTGAGGCAGGCATTGGCATTGGAAATAGTCATTAATGGAAATAGTCATTAATGGAAACAGAAGATCCAGCAAGCAGAAGATGCATGGACTTCAGGAGGTCTGCGTAAGTCCTGTCTTCTGCCAAAACTTTGTGCTCCTTCCAGCAATAATATTTTAGGGATAGCTAAGTTGTCATTTTTAAGGCAGTACAACGCAAAACCCACCTTCTCAAACTCATTTATATTCTATTTCCAATGCCAATGCCTGCCTCATCTGAAGCAGGACATGCACGGGAATTCAAGAACATTTGAAGACTTCTCAGGAGGTAAACAAAGTTAAGTTTAGAGGGAGATGAAACATCACCATGAGGCTGACTAATTTATCTAGAGAGGTGGACAAGATGCTGGTTTTGAGAAATTCCTCAGTAACAA